CCACTGTCTGGGCATTTGCTTCAGATAGAAGAATTCCCACTCGACTTCACCACAGTGTTTCCACGTGTGAAAAAGACAAAGGGTGGTGGAGCTCCGAGTGGGCAACACAGAGCCAAGTCCATGAAGGGGGATTTCTGAGCTCGGGCTTTGGCGGGCAGTGGGCTGGCGGTGTTCTGAGCAGCATCCAAATGCCAGTCACAGCCAGGCTTCCTCCACGACCTTTTCAGGTTCCCTTGTTCAATAAATATTTCCTGGGTGGCTGGCAATCCTGGGCCTGGCCAGACAACAGCCTTGCTCCCTTGCAGTGGAATATCCAAATGTGGCCGCCTATGACAGAAAAGCAGAAGAAAACACTGGAAAGGGAGAGGAGTTGTAAACGGATTGTCTACCATCACAGGAGCAAAACCCACAGAAGGTACGTTGTAACAATACTAGTTCTTAGCGTGGGGTGATGAGACTTCACACCATTTTGAAACAGCCATGAAAAAGTCATTGATGTACGTAACACATTGATCCCTGCACACAGCTCACAGCAGGCACTTGCCATGTCCTTAGGCTCTGTGTATTGAAGCCTGGACCATCCATGGTAAGATGCACCGAGCCAGGTGTGTGGGGTGCACGTGAGTGATCCCAGCGGCTCAGGAGGCTGAGGCAGGATGATTCCAAGTTCAAAGCCAGCCTCAGCAATCTAGCAAGGCCCTAAGCAACTTAACGAGACGCTGTTTCAAAATAAAAATTTTAAAAAGGGCTGGGATGTGGCTCAGGAATTAAGTGCCCTTGGGTTCAATCCCCTGTACCAAAAAACAAACAAACAAAAAAGCCACCTATACACCCAGAGCCTGCCCAAGGGAGGGCATTGGTAGCCACATCCTGCCAGCCCCCCTAACCACTGCCCTCCTCACTGAAGCAGGCAGGAGAGGGTCCAGATAGTGTAAGGACACAGCCACAGTTGCCCAGCCAAATCCAACCAGGCATTTCAAAAAACAGCACGGAGAGGCGGTACGACTGACTCCAGTCATGAGGCCGACTCCTACCGGGTCCCGTCAGAACCCAGTCTGGACCCACACCCTGAGCTTTCTACAGCAAGCCATGAGTGAACCCCACTCAACCCTCATGGGCAGGGTCCACCTGCAGTTTCCTCTGGAGGAAGCTAAGAGCGTGAGCAATGCCTCGGGTCAGAGTCTACAGAGGGCCAGCACGCTCCTGATCCACCTGGCAGCAGGGGCAGGCCTCCCAGGTCAGCAGGGCAGGACCCAGAACCCTGAGGCCACGGGCTGCAGAGCTGAGAGGTGGGGCCGGGGGCAGCGGAGCTCCTGTGGAAGGCATCCAGTTGCTTATCTTGAAGACATTCCTGGGACAGGGAGCAGGAAGGCAGGTCAGGAACCTGGCGGGAGGCCACTCAAGCCCAAGAGGAAGATGCCAGGCCCAGGCTGCTCCAGGTGAGAGAGCAGGAAGCAGGGGGGGGGGGGTTTCCAGGGCAGCAGCTGGGAAGGGCGACCTCCAGGATGGGTGTGAGCGGGAGTGGCAGGGGAGGCACCCAGGTGCTCTGACTTCCCACCGGGGTGCCAGGTTCACCATCTCTGGGGAAGGAAAGACAGGTCTGATTTCTGCCTGGGCCCTGAGTCTGCCAGTAGGATAGGTAGGGAAAGGCGTGTGGTGGGGTGAACCAATGGCCCAGTTTGGGCCAGATCCACAGACTGAGTGTCCATTGTTCAAGACTGACCCTCAGTGGGCAGGATAGGAGGCCATCTGGGAGGGGAAAACAGTGGGAGATCCTGGGAAGAAGCCAGTGACAAATGCCCACTGGATTTGGGAATTAGGTCACGGAGTGGAGTAACGAGGACAGAAGCAGGCTCAGGGTTTGGAGAGTGAAAGGAGGGAGTGAACTGAAGCCTAGTGGAGGGATGAGTGGCTTGGGGAACACAGCAGACGCCAGGCTTCCAGGGGGGCCAGTTCCTAAGAGAAGGGGGATGAAGCAGGGCGCAGGCAGGAGGAGGGGAGGGCGGAGCGCAGCCCCGGAGGAGCACAGGGAGTTCCGACCCCCACCACGGGGCTCCTTCCAACAGCTGCAGCCCACACGGGCCCCACAGGGGTCAGGGGCGACAGTGCTTCTTCACGCAGGCACGAGACCCCTCCCCACACTCCCATCCCAGCACCTGAGCCCCTGGAGGGCCACCAGACCAGGACAGCAGGTCTGTGCCTGGATCCTGCCAGCACAGCCACCCCGGGGAGTCACCAGAACTACGTCCTCAGGAAGGCCTAAGCAGAACATGGGGACATCTGAGAACCCATGCCCTAATGACCCCTGGTGACTGGTGCTTGCTGGAGTCTGAGACATGGGCCTGACACCTCTGTCCAGTTCCCCTGGCCTCTGTGGGCAGCTCTGCCGGGGAGTCTGCTGCTCTGGGGTGCTGGGACCACCAGGCAGAGGGAGGACAGAGCAGGCGGCTTCAGCAGCCAGTAAGAAATCATTCACCTACCAGAGTCGGGCCCACGGTGGAGGGAAACCCTCGGAATAACCCCCGGGACTGGGAGGCAGCTGCAGAAGTCCCAAGCAAGATGGGCAGCGGGGCAGCCCCAGAGCCCTATGGGGCCATGCCAGAGGCAGAGAGTTGGATGGGGCTGTGGAAAGGTGTGGGTATGGGCTCTGGGAGGGGCCAGTGCTGGAGCTGGCCCTGGATCTGATGGGCAGAGGACACTGCACTCCCCAAGCCCGTGTCCTGTGCTCACTGGCCCTCCTCCAGTCACCCCTGCTTCTACTGACACCACCCTCCAGGAACACACTGTCCACCTGCCAGGACCCAGGGCAGGGGATCACAGCACACAGCTCAGCACTGGCCCAAGGGTCGTGCTTGCTGCTGCTAACCCTGACCCCCTGCAGTGTGTCCAGGACCTCGCCCCCAGGAGCACCGACGGCTGGACTTGTCCTTAACTGGAAGACTCAGAGCTCACCTACTGCCCATTTCCCAGGCTGGGACTCCCCCAGGCTCGGCGTTCTACAACATGCCAACATCGCCATTGTCTCAAACTGAAACTGTCACCCACCTACGGCCTCCTGAAACCAGAAGCAGCCCGCTACTCCCTGGCTACTTCCTTGGCCTCCTCGACTGACTGCCCGGGCCAGACCTTCATTGTATGTGCTCCTGACTCCACTTCATGAATGCCCAAGGGACCCTACTTGGCTGCTCACGGGACGGTCAGCCTTACCTGCCACCCTCTGTACTCCACCCCCGCACCCCCGTTGGGCTATGATGCAGACACTATCAGCCCAGGAGTCCACTAAGCAAATGAGATCCTGTTAACCTGGCCCTGGTGCCCAGCTTGCCAACCAGGACGACCAGGCTTTCTCTCTGTCACGCTGTGGCCCGTGCTTTGACACACTGCCTGGCCTGAGGCTCATCAGGAGGCACCGGGCATCCCTCCTAGTGACTGTGAGTCACAGTGGTGCTCACCCAGGCTGGATCCCTCAGCCCTGCCTGCAAGGTCCATTGCACCATGGGAGACTCTCACTTGGCCGTCACACATCCCAGAGTGGCCAGTGTTCAGAGAACAGTGACAACACAGTGTGGCCTCCCCATAGCCACTGTATCCCCAGTGGTTTGAGGCCACTGGCCACTGCCTGGCTGGTCAGAGGGCTGCAGCAAGGCCCGAGAGTGCCCTTTCCTCCACCTGGTGGCAGTCTCACCTCCAGGCTTCCTCTCCTCTCCTCCTTTGAGCTGTCTGACCCAACCTTGAGGGGCCAAGTCCAGAACTGGGTTTGAGGGACATCTTCGTGGAGAGCGTGGAAAAGGCCCTGAAGAGGTGCGGGAGGTGAAGGCTGGTGACGGAGCTGCCAGGCAGCACGCAGCAGCACTCACTGCACAGGAGCCCACAGGCTCCGCCCAGGCAGGTCAGCTCCTCTCCTGGTTCCCCAGGGCTGCTCCTGCCACTCTAGCCTCCTGGCCACTGGGCACCTCTGTATGACCTTGCCTGCTCCTCCCAGACCTGCCATGGCTGGCAGCAGGGCTCAGGACCAGTGCTGTCCAGGAGAACCTAGATGAAGTTCCCAGATGGCCACAACCCCAGTCCACACGGACACAAGTCTTACCACGCCTTCCAAGCTGTGGCCAGACACTGTTGGGTCAGAATGGGCTGCCAGCACCAGCCCTGTGGCCACTCTGCCCTCCATCCTACCACATGCAAAGCAGGCAAGATTCCCACCAGATCTTCCTGCCCCGTATTAGCCAACAGTGAGAAATGTCATTGGTCACTGAAATCCATTATTTCTCTCATCTTTCCCTAGAGATGCAAATATTAGTCAATTAAAAACCTAAAAAGCAATGAAGCTGGGCATGGTGGCTCACGCCTGTAATCCCAGTGGCTCGGGAGGCTGAGGCAGGAGGATCTCAACTTCAAAGCCAGCCTCAAAGTCGAAGTGCTGAGCAACTCAGTGAGACCCTGTCTCTAAATAAAATACAAAATAGGGCTGAGGATGTAGCTCAGTGGTTGAGTGCCCCCGAGTTCAATCCCCAGTTTACACCCCATCCCCAAAAAAGAGGTCTAATATCTAGAGTATATAAAGAACTAAAAAAAAGCAACAAGTAGAATAAAGTGCTTCAAATATCCTTGGTAGAGTACTCACTAAAAACTACCCACAGAACTGAGTGGACCACTCAGTCTCAAACCCTCCTGTTGTCATTCTGTCCTGGACAGGACCAGGCCGCGCTGCCAGACTGACTTGGAACTCCTAGGCTTAGGCAATCTCCCACCTCAACATCCCATTAGCAGGGACCTGGGGCTGTGGGGGACACTGGCACCCCACCTTTGACTTGGAATAGGAGTGGCGGACTCGCGCCTTTGTAGAAGTCAAAGGAAAAACATGACCGAGAAGGCTGGGGCTGGCTCAGCGGGAGAGTACTCGCAGCTTGAGCAAGACACTGGGTCCATCCTCAGCACCACACAGAAATAAAGCAAATAAAGGCCTTGTGTACATCTTCAAAAAAAAAAAGACACACAGAACGGACCCACAACAGCACATTATTTATTGCACCAAGATCTTGGCAACACCTGGGGCTCCCCAGGCCACTGGAGAGGAAGTACAGAGGGCAGGGACGCCTGTACACACATGGGTGTGGCCACACAGCCAGGACACAGTGGGAAGTGGCTCCTCACGATAGGTGAACGGGGCAGTGAGGAACACTGGTGAGGGCCCACTGCACAGGGGCCGTCACCTGCACTCCCAAGCACAAAGGCAAGCTCTGTGCCGAGAGGCCACCATGGCAAGAACTGAGGTCACTAACATGTGCTTACACACTACGGGCACCCAGAACGGGGGGTGGGTGGTGGTGGTGGTGGTTTCTGGGCCTCATTCTTCCTGGTCCCTGTTTGGCTGATGGTTTTCTGGGAAGGGAGGGGCTGGCTTCTGCCGGACAGCGATGAGCACCGTCAAAAGTCAGGTCAGGCACTCCACCACCTGGGAGAGGGAGGCAGCCCCTCCAGGACAAGGGTTTGCAGCGTGCAATCCAGCGGAGAAGGAAGAGACCCACTTGGAAGGGGGGAGAGCGAGAGGGGAGGTCAATTGTGTGCTAGAAGACAACTAAATTTAACTACAAGGCATTACGAAACGAAACGGCTGGGGACGCAGTTCATACAGGCAAGAACGTCAGCGCCTCAAGAGGAAAGCAAGCCCTGGCCTCCCCAGACAACAGGTCACGAAGCCATGGCCCACTTCCTGCTGGGATGGGGAGCAGCCAACAGATCAGCCCTGGTGCCACTCTTCCCTCCACCTTCTTTTAAAAGGAAATACGAAAAACAGGAAAAGAAAACAAAAAGAATCTCCTCCCCATAAAGAAAAAGCAAGTCTTCTTTCTACACCAGGATCAAGTGAGGCCTCAAGTGTGGCAGCAGAGCAAAACAAGGGTGGCACAGGCCAAGGGCAGAGGTGGGCCCTCCTGGGGAGGGCCAGCGCCCGGCACTGTGAGCAGCGCCTGGAAGGTGCCATCCTCCTCAGAGAGCACCTCCGCGAGGAGACCCAGGCCGGTCCAACCACACGTCTGCAGACAGGGCTTGCACAGGGGAGGGGCGTGAACAGTACAATCAGCCAGACTCCACGGCGCTCCCAAGACTGAGTACACGAAGCCAGGGTTTGCGTATCAGGGAAACATACTGTACAGGAAGCCACAGGCCTGCTCGGATATCAGCTGACGGAGACCTCATCCCCAAGATCACCACTTCTGCAGAGACCCACGGGCCACTGCAGCTGAAGGGAAGCTACAGCCAAACCATCAGGAGAGGCAGCAGCCTCGGGAGCAGATGCGTTGGCATTACTTTCAAGGGTTCCCATCCCAGCCTCTGCTCTCCACAGAGCTCGGAGTTCCTGTGAGGAGGAGATACTCCGGAAGGGCCAACCCCAGGCAGGAAAGGGAAAGGCAGCGATGTGGTCAGTGCAGGACCTTCCTCTCTGAGGCAGACAGTAAGGCATACAGTCACAGGGCGCAGCACGAGACAGCGCCACCTGCAGGGAACAAGGGGTGCTCGCCAGGAAGAGCCAAGGCACCCTGCCACCCTGAGCACAGGACAACTGGGGAAGAGCCCCTGGGACAGACAGCTCTGCCCACCCAGACCCCACTGTCCATGACCACAAGGTCACTTGGCCTTTCTGGAGGCCCCATAGCGAGCTGCCGGTCTGCGTGACACCACATGCCAGGGCTTCGCGTGAGGGGCCTTTCGTGAATGTCTCCACAGGTTCTGAGCCGTAGAAGCCCAGGCCTCACGGGTCCCCTAAGACGGTGGGGACAGGAGTCCCCTGCCGTGGCAGGCTCACAGTGCAGCAGCCTAGAGGTGACAGGGAGGTGGAGTCTGCTTGAGGCCACTCTTCAGATCCAGACAGAGTTCCCAGGAAGTGACGGCCCTAGAGGGTACGGGACAGGCACATGTCCTGGTGAGGAGAGAGACCTGATACTCCCAGAACACCCTCGAGTGAGTCCCCGCAGGATAGGGGTACAGCCCTCTCGAGGGAGCTGGAAAATGTCACAGGGTCCTCTCCTACAAGGGACAGGCGCATGCATGCACACCAGACAGACACACAGACACACCATACACGCCACAGCAGACCCACAGACACCACGCCCAGAACACGCACACACAGACACACACCGGAGACACCACCCCTACAACGGACCTCAACAGCATGAGCTCAGCGGCGGTGGCTGAGGCTGGTGGCCTTGGCTGGATGAGTCACAGACCAAAAGTTCCGTCTACTCTGAAGCTTCTGGAAAGCGTTGAAGTTTCTCTTCTTCTCTCTCTTGAGTTTTTTCATTTTCTTCTCCTACATCAAGAATCAGGCGTTACAATTCTCAGGAGGGCTGCCCTGAGCCCAGTCTCCTACGCGGGAGCACCCCGGCACAGGGGTGCCCCCACACAGTGAGTGACACCCTCTGCAGGAGGCCTGCCACCCAGCACTGATGAAGGTACCCCAGCAGCGTGGCCAATGCCTGCCCACAGCACCAGACACACCACCTGGAGCTGGCCGAGCCACTTTCTCCGAAGCTTCAAACTGCTATCAGAGTTCAAGACATCCCTGCCCTTGGCCCAAGCTGAGCAACACCATCCTACTGTCAGCCCACAGCCATGTCACGAGTCCTACCTTTCCTCGATCAAACTCCTCATCCCAGTGGTCAAGCACAGTCTGGGTACGGGCCAATCTGCTGTCTTCGATGGCATCCTGACTGATCGCGGACGGCTCCCCACTCCAGCTCAGAACTGCACAACACATCCGCCATCAGCACATGTGGGCTCCCAGACCCTGTGGGCCACTCTGACCCTGTGAGCCAGGGAAGCCTGTCTACCCCCACATGTTCAAAACGTGTGAGTGCCACCTTTTGGCAGAGACAGACATGAGAGGGAAAAAGGAGGGGCACAGTGACCAGGACGGTCAACATGGGAACAGCATCAGTGAGTCAGTGAGCCCTGAATTCTGCATCACCAATCATAGAGCTCTCTTTTTTCCCCCTTTTTCTTTAGGGACTGAGCCTAGGGGCACTTCACTGTTGAGCTCCACCCCCAGTCCTTTGTAAAATTTTCATTTTGAGACAGGGTTTGGCTACGTTGCCCATGCTGGCCCCACCTTGTGGTCTTCCTGCTTCCCCCTCCTGAGCAGCTGGGATGACAGGTGTGCACCACTGTGCCCACCTGTTTTTGTAAATCCACGCCCATGTTTGAGAAACAACGTCTCATGCTTGCTCTCAAAATCTGCCTTACAAATGAGGTTCCGAGCCCAGCCTGCATTCAGGGTCAGGAGCTTTTCGCCCTGTCCCTCCCTAGCTGGGACCTTGACACTGCCACCTTACCTAGAGCTGTGTGTGCGGCTGTCATGCCCACAGACCTCTGGAGCTGCTCTAGAGTCCTCTAGGAACAGGACCCACGCTTGCCCACCTGCAGAGGACAGTACCACGTCCTGTCTGGACATACCTTTGCTCCCGTAGGCCTTGTCAGAGGAGTATCTGAGCAACTCCTGGACCACATCGGGTTCTCGCTCTCTGTTCCAAGGTACAAGAGGAGCCTGTCCTGGCCCTACAGATAGGAGACGAGGGGACTGTCACAGACCCGTCACTGACAGCCACCTGCAGAATTCGTGAGCGGTAAGTGCTCACCCACACTGCAGTGCCCGAGTGCTGGTAAGTACTCTACTCAACAGAGAAGGCTGCTGTCCACGTTAGTTCATGAAAATGATAAGGGCAGAAAATAAGAGAGGCCAGAAAGCACAGCCCTGCAGCCAGCAGGAGGGGACACCATGAGTGGACCCTGCCTTGTGGCCAGAAACAGCCTGCTACAGTTTAGATCTTAGGGTTCCCCAGAGGCTCACGTCTGGAGGCTTGTCCTCAGGAAGGTGCTACTGGGGTGACAGAAGCTGTAATAAGCAGGGCCTAGGGGGAGGTTCTCAGGGCACAGTGGGACCCCAACTCCTTCCACTTGTCTTCCACGTCCCGAGGTGAGAGCCCTGCTCCGCCACATACTCCCAGCACTACATGCTGCAGACCTGGGGCTGGGCCCCCAGAGCTGTGAGCTAAAACACACCCCTTTTCTCCTAATTATCTCAGGCATTTGTGCTAGCGATGTAAAGTTAAAGACTTAACGCATGGGCCAGTGCTCAGCAAAGGCCTCACACAGGACAGGGAAGTACCCCCATCACTTTTGCCACCAGGGCTCCTCGAAGCTGCCTGTGTAGTGCCTAGATGTGGAGCATCTCCCAGAGGCTCATGCACTGAAGGCTTAGTCCCCAAAATGGCACCGTCCAGAGGCTGGGCTTGGGCTGTTGGGAAGTCATGGGGTCTCTGACCTCGTCAGTATTCAATCCATTGACATCAAAGTGGACCCTTGGGAGACGGGGTAAGGGGCTGGTAGGTGGGGTGCGGCGGCAGGAAGTAGGTCACTGGGGGGCACACGCTGGTACTTATCCTGTCCCTGGCCCCTTCCCCTCTCTCTGCTTTCTGGCTTCACAAACGGAGCTGCCTTCCTAAACCACACCCTTCCACCCCAGGCCTAGGACATGGAGCTGCCCACCATGGACAGAGACCTCTGAAACTGTGAGCAGCCTTCATCAGGTATTTTGGTCGCAGTGACAGAAACCTGACTAATGTGCCCACAGTGCTCACCCAGACGGTCCCCAGGAACCTGGCCATTCATACTCCACACGGGGACTGCAGAGACACTAGGCCTCAGCCTCTTGGGGCCCTCCGGATGATCGTTCTCTTCTTCCTCCCGTGGCGCCTCCCGCTTTCTTTTCCTCCTCCTCTTTTTCCTTGGAGACTCCATCCTGGCTGCAGGCTCTCTAGGGTCAGGGGAGGGGCAGCTGCTGGGAGTCGGAGGCAGAAGTCAGAAGTCGAGACAATGCACAAAGACGGGCACCCCACCACAACAGGACGCCTAGGTGGCACAGCGCTCACTCTGCACTGGCTTAGAGAAGTGGCTGGGTACATGGGGGCTGGGTGCCCACAGCCACACCAGCGTGACGCTAGTGCAGCTGGGACAAGCCCTATTCACTACACATGCAGGCTGCTGTGGCCCCCAGAACACACAACCACCCTGCATCTTTGGACACCCTGCTCATGCAGTGATGGCCATGGCTTAGAAGCACCTGTCCTCTCTGCTGTCAGTCACTCAAGGGACCGAGGTCCACCAACAGCCTCACAGACTACATTTTTAGGATTCCAGAACAGCATATCTTTGTAGATTGCACCCACCTGGGAATGGATTATTTCACTTCTCATTTTTTTTCTGAAAAATTTTTTGGAGCTGTATGCGGAGAGAATGCCTTTATTTTATTTTTATGTGGTGCTGAGGATCAAGCCCAGTGCCTTACACATGCTAGGCAAGTGCTCTGCCGCTGAGCTATAGCCCCAGGCCTGATTTTTTCCCCCTTTTTTGGCAGTAGGGATTGAACCCAGGGTGCTTAACCATTAAGCCACATCCCAGCCATTTTTATTTTTGAGACAGGGCCTTGCTAAGTTGCCCAGGTTGGCCTTGAACTTAGGATCCTCCTGTCTCAGCCTTCTGAGTTGCTGGATAATGGCATGTGCCACAACACCCGGCGTGCTTCTGATTTCTCCATGGAGAGACCGGGGCGTGTCTCTGACCTGTGCTCACCTGGGCCAAGGTGGGTCCTGGGGTAGCCCGACTCTCCCGAATCCCTCCACTCCTCTCCTCCTCCGCTTCCTGCTACTCAGGTGGTGGGCTTCTAGGACGTTTGCCTGTGGCCGTGTGCCCTCTTCCTCCTGTGGATCAGCTGCAAGATCTGCCTGGTGCTTCTTCCTGCTCTTGGGGCTCCAGGGCTGCCCCCGAGTCTGACCCTCCTGAGGGGCTACAGCGGCCGTGTCCTCTGGACACTTCCTCTTCTTCCTTTTCCTCTTCCTGCGGGGCGCCACAGCTTCTCCCCTGAGGCACTGGGGCTGACGTGCCACTGAGCCTAGTTTCTGGGGCTCTCCTGTGAGCAGCTTCTTCTTCTTCCTAGAGGGGCTCTGAGGGGCCTTGCTGGCCTCCAGTGACAGCTGGTGTGAAAGGGACGTGAAGTCCCCATTGACCTGAGGCAGGGCAGTCCAGGAAGAGGAACGGCTCTGTGGCTCTGAAGTCCCCGGGGACTGGGGGCTACTACTGGTCAGTGATGTAGAGGGAGGGCTAACAGGCGGCTTTGGATGGCTGGATGATCGGGGGATAGGTGACACAGCCCTGTGGGGACAGGGGATGATAAAAAAGGTCATTCTGAAAAACCCACGCAGAGCTCTTCCCCCTGCCCACCTTCATCCCCTTTCCAAAACAGTCCTTTCCTGTAATTCTCAGACACATGAGTCACACGTATGTGAAGACAGGCTGACAATAAAATCAAAATCTCTTTAGATGGGAGTTAATGAGAACTGTACGTCATACTTCCTTGAGAGTAAGAGGTCACAGGTTTGTTTTTTTTTAAAACTCTATTGTTTCTGCTTGTTGAGCAACAGTTCAGGAAAGTCCCCTCGGTATGCACGTTTCAGCCCCAGAGCAAGGCAAACCCTGAAGACAGCAGCCTTCTCAGGAGGGCAGGCACGGCCCGCAGCACCACAGTTATTTTCCTCTGACTCTGGGCCAGTAACTCAGGACCACGACTTGTAAAGCCGAGCTGTCCTGCGAGGTGTGCACGGGGCAGGACTGGGCTGTGCCGGGGCCCGCGACCTGCCTCTCGCCAGCCCTGCAGGGCCAAGCTCCAGAGCCATAGCGCTCATCTGGCCAGAGCAGCAAGGCTGCCAACCTCAAAGGGTAACGGCATCAGTAGGACTATCGTCATTGTCACCGTCACCTCAACCAGGGCAGACCACAGCACCATAGCAGCTATACCCCTGGACCCCAAGGCTGGGCCACCCCAGGTGTTCTCTGGAGTTTTTTTTTTTTTTTCTTTTTCTTTTTTTGGTGAGGTGGAGTGAGTAATCAGGGATTGAACTCAGGGGCACTCCACCACCGAGCCACACCCCCAGTCCTATTTTGTATTTTATTTAGAGACAGGGTCTCACTGAGTTGCTTAGCACCTCACTTTTGCTGTGGCTGGCTTTGAACTCAGCATCCTCTCAAGCAGCTGGGATTACAGGCGTGCACCACCATTCCCGGCTCCCCTGGAGTGTTTTCATAAAGGTTATGTGACAAAGAAACCAAGAGAAAATACCCAACAGATGTCTGGATATTTGCAGACTACCAAGTGCAAAACTACCAGGCCAGGGTCAGGGGTGCACACCCGAGTGGGGACGGTCCCAGGCTGCCTCCAGGGTAAGGCAGGTGGAGTCACGCAGGGAGAGTCCAAGAGGCCATGTCCCTCACCCGTGCCCTCTCTCACGCCTTCCCGGCTGCCCAGGGGTTCCAGTCCATCAGCCTCCACTGTCAGGGAGACACTACTCTGCCCTGGGCATTCTCGAGAGTGGCGAGCTCCTGTCAGGGAGCCCACTGGGAGGGGCGGGAGGACTGGGAAGCCTATCCACAGAAGGTCTGAAAAGCCCCAAGGCAGAATCAAGCCTCCCTACTCCAGAAGCCACATCCAGCCAATGGCAGGAGCCCCTGGGGACCCTCTGCGGGTTGAGGAGGCAGGGCACACTGCTGGGAAAACAAGATGCGACCCTGGCTGGCAAAACGGATGGCCCTGAAGGACTCCAGGCCTGAGTTCACGCACAGTCTTTCTCTTCCCAGTGAAGCTCTGTCCTGGGGCTGGCCAGGGGCTTCAGGACAGGGAAGCCCTCGGCACACCCAGCACCACACACGTGTGGCAGACAGACGAAGACTGTGACAAAAACAGCAAGCCAGGACACAGAGACCCTCTGCCATCGACCAAGCGGGGTCTGCTGCTGAATGGAAAGGGAGCAGGCAGGAGGGGACCCCATCCTGGACCCTCATGGCTCCTCACCTGCCATGCACCCTCACCATAGGAGTGAACCAATGGAACCCGACAAATGCCTGGATTGGGGCCCCCGCCCGAGCTCACCTGGTTCTACTGACAGCCCAGGTGGAGGCAACGACGGGGTGAGCAGCTTCCATGGGGGAGGTGAGGTCGGAGAATGGTGAGGGGGGAGGTGAACGGAGGTCATTGCCGGTCGCCCTCCGCAGGGTGCTGGCCTGCAGTTATTGACATAAATAAAAACTTGGTGGTCTAAAAAAGGTTTCCGTGAGTGAAGAGGGAAAAAAAACCAAAACAACAAAAAAAAAACAACAAACAAACAAACAAAAAAAAAAAAACCAAGAAACAAAAACAGAAAAACAGGGCCCAGAAAGGATAAGGGGACAGGAAGAGAAAACAGGGGAAGGGAGAGGAGGGATGGTAGGAGAAGAACCAGAAGAGTGTTGTTGGTTAGAAACAAAAAGGAAGAAGGAAGGAACTTTAACAAAACCTCAGCACGACACAGCGCGGTGTCGCGCCCCAGCCCTAGAGGCACCCCACCCCACCTGCACAAGGCCCCCAGGCTCACGCTGCCCCAGTGCCCCTGCCACCACACGTGGCCGGGTGAGCCTGGCTCTCGCCCTGGGGCCCACTTGAGCTACTCCACCTGCAGCAGCAATGGAGGCCCACCCTGGGCCCAGCCCCAGGAGGACTGAAGGATGGACTCCCTCACCCCCACCCCCCAGACGGCCCTTCTGCAACCTGCAAATCACCAGGGACGCCCAAAAGGCACTTGGTACCTCTAGAATGAGGAAGGCCGCCGCCTTCGACATCTCCCACTGCCCCGCTATGGCCAGCTGGCCTGAGACCCCCGTGCCCACCTTCCTGGCAGACAGGGCCAGCCTTTTGGCTGGCGGTGGAGACATGAGGTTCGCAGGCTCAGTGGTGGCGCTGCCCAGGGCGGGGGACTTCAGCTTCACCACTGCAGAATCGGCTTCACTTGGTGGTGCTCTGGAGGGACCGGAGGGACAGTCTGTTTCCTGAGAAGCACAGATGCGGACAGCCGTGCCCCCGCGGTCCTGTGGAGCCTTGGCAGGCTCACTGCTGGCAGAGTGCTCCGGGCTAGAGCTGCTAGAAGCCCCCTTCTCAAGGTCCGTGCTCCCGTCCTCCTCCTTCAGCCCAAGCCCATTGGCAGTGGCGCTGGCCAGGAGCTTCGGTGAGGTAGAGGGGACAGTGTCTCGGCTGGCCCAGGAGCCCTGCCGACGGCTCCCCGATTCACTGGTACCAGGGGAGCCCTGAGGAGTTCGCAGGGACGGGGAGAAGTGCTGTGGGGGAGTTGGCTTCTTCACCTTCTTCCCAGGCTCCTCCAGAAGGGTGGGGGTGTGGGGGGGTGTTTGGGAGAGTCTGGGGGAAGGTGACCCCAAGGGCAGCTTTGCAGGAACACATCCATTCTGTGACTTCAGGGCCGGCACAGAGCCATTCCTGGAAACAGGCTCGCCGATCTCCTCGGGGACCTGCAGCTTCCTCACCAGCACAGGGTCTGGTCGCTGAGGGAGAGCAAGGGGAGAGCAGTCAGGGCCCCTGCGGGCGCTGGCCAGGCCCCGCCTCGAGGACAGAGCAGCAGTCAGCAGCAGGCATGAGGTGAAGGCTGGAACGGGCGTGTGGTAAAGTGCTACTGTCCTGACCGGATTTAGTACACATGACCATCTTCACAGCAAAGCAGAATGTTGTCACCAAGTGAGAAAAAGTACAAAGAAAAAAGGTCCCTAACAGCCACTTCTGAGTGGTCTGGTGCACAGGTGTGTCCCCCTTTGTCTCAAGGCCACACCTGAAGCCTCTCCCCAGGTTCTGCTCAGTGAAGGCTGCTGTTGTGGTCATCGTACAGCCTGTGCTGTCTCCTGCTGTGGGGACAGCACACTAGTAGATGAGTCCTTCCTACATTCACTGCAAGTGGATGAAAATACTCTTAACTCTGTGTTTAATGCTTCATCTGGACCCTTCCCTGCTTGACCCCAAAGCTCCAGAAGGCCTCTCTCCACTCTGCACTGCGGTGGGCTTGCGCCACTTTACCTTCATACCAACGGCAGGTGCACTGCAGGGAGGTGCCACCATCTGAAGGAGCTTTTTATGTTATAAATGTTAAACTTCTGGGGCTGGGGCTGTAGCTCAGTGGTAGAGTGCTTGCCTAGCATGTGTGAGGCACTGGGTTCAACTCTTAGCACCACATATAAATAAATGAATAAAGGTCCATCAACAACTTAAAAAATGTTAATTTTTCATTGTGTCCATTGAAAAGAAAAATTTTGTGTTGGGAATCGAACCCAGATCATTACAACATATGCATAGCACACACTACGGCTGACTGTGCCCCCAGCTCCTTGTTCTACAATGTTTTCTTTGTTTATTTTTAAGATTTTATGTATTGGGCTGGGGTCATACATAGCTCAGGGGTAGAGCCCTTGCCTAGCATGCATGAGGCACTGGGTTTGGATTCTCAGCACCACATATAATAAATTAAAGAAATGACCATCAACAATTAAAAAAAAAATTTAACAAAAAAAGATTTTATACATTCAGTTTTAGTTCAGCCAATTTATACTTTTTCTAAATTCTCTCTCGATTTTAAGCTTAGAATGTCTTCCTTTTTCTAGAGGTTTAATTAGAATGCACTTTTATTTTCTTTTGAGATTTTTGGCCTAGGTTTTATTTTTTTGTTTTTAGTGCTGGGGATTGAACCCAGGGGTAGGGTACTCCCCAGCCCTTGTTACCCTTGTATTTTTTGATACAGGATCTTGTTAAGTTGCCAAGGCTGACCTTGAGCTTACAATCCTCCTGCCTCAGCCCCCCAAGTACCTGGAATTACAGGCATGGGCTACCACGCCCAGCTGCCCATATTTTATAATAGTCTATGCTTTGCTGTTTTCTAACAGGAATAAGTCTTTCCATTGCACTGCTATTGAAATGTTCTAGAACACTAAAACTCGCACAATCCTATTTATGCAAGCAACTGCAGCATATGTGGAAAAGCTCCGTGTAATGAAAACACTAATGGTTAAGTGCAACAGCTTTGCAGATGTGCCCGCACAGGATCCCGGGTGCCTATAGCCACCCTCAGGTACAACTCCTCTGCCTGCGGACCTCCTGACCCTGAGAGCTGTTGCCGATTCTGCAGTTAGATCATGCACTTCAATTCCTACATCAATTCCCATGAGCCTCATTTCCACTTCTCTTTTCTTGGATGCTGAGGGAAAGACAGCTGTCCACATGTAACTACCCCACTGCAGACTGGGAAACCACTGCTGCCTGCCTGGTGTGGGCTTAGCTCTGGCCAGAAGGAAGAAGTCACTTGGTGACAGTCGCCAGGGCCACTGACTCTAAACGGAAACGGCTAATCACCTTGCCAGGAAAACTTGAGTTCTCAACTGCTTCAACAGAAAACTTCAGGTACCTACAAAGATGGCTTCCAGGGGCTCCCTGACGGCCGGCATCTTGCCACAGGGCTTCACTGTGCTTTCCTTAGGCTGTGCAGACCCAAGTGCTTCCCTATTGCTAAACCACCTGGGCAAACTGCAGACACGACGTCCTTTCACCCTCCACGTGTCCAGCTGCTGGTGAAGGAGGATGATCCCTACAGAGCCCCAGGATGGTTATCAGAATCAGGACAGTCGCCTGGCACACACTGTGCACTCAGTGCTGGACTTCAGCTTGGGCTCTCAGTGAGCATGTCTGGACAACAGCAGGCCCAGAGAGCAGGACTGATGCCCCTGGGCATCAGTGAAGAGCTGCTGGCTCAGCCTCTCATGGTCCTCTCTTCCCTCTACCCAACGTCCGTCAGCTGATGGCCGGTTGAGAAAACAAAGCTGACAGATACAAAACCACTACCCGAGACGCCTCCACTCAGCTAAGGTTCCCCCATGAGAAGACTGGACATCTGTGATGCATGAGACAGGAGCTCCAAGAGCCACCCATCACCCCATCATCTTTTTTTGTTGTTGTTCCAAGGATTGAACCTAGAAGCACTTAACCACTTGAGCCACATCCTCAGCCCCTCCTTTTTATTTTTTAAACATTTTTTTAGTTGCAGATGAACACAATGCCTTTACTTTTATTTATTTATTTTTATGTGGTGCTGAGAATCGAACCCAGAGCCTCACCCGCGTTCAGTGAGCTCTCTACCACTGAGCCACAACCTCAGCCCCATCCTCAGCCCTTTCTGAGATAGGGCCTCACTAAGTTGCTGAGGCTGGCTTTGAACTTAGATCCTCTTGCCTCCACCTCCCTAGCCACTGGGATTGCAGGAGTGCACCACTGCTCCCAACCCACCCCATCATCTCAGTACCTTTGCCATTGATGGGGAGGTAGCTACGCCGTTGCCCATGTTCTTCTTGGTATGATCTAGAACCACACTTGGGCGGCTGGGAAGGGTAGAGCCTGCCTGAGAGATGGGGCTCTCGGGACTTTTCTTAGAGCATGGAATTCTGCAGAGGAAGGAAACAAGAAACTTGTACTGAAGTCCAAAGTTACTACAAAATGGATAGCAAGGGAGAATTGGGGTAACTTGAAGTTGAGGTTATGTTTCTTTTTCAGGAAGGGTGAGCAAAGGTAATAAATAAATAAATCCCCCAAACCCCCGAGGGAACCTAACAGGTCTCTTGAACTCACTCTGCCCTTAACCAACAAGAGGCCAGACAGAGCCTCAGACACGGCTATGTGGGAGGGCCAGGGCCAAGTCTGGGCAAAAGTCTTCCAAATTAGAGGCTCAAGCACCATAAGGCAAAAGACCCCCTCATATGTGCATCCAAACCTCAGCAGAGTGGACAGAGCAGCAAAAACACCTCAGTCACCACACCCTTCAATCTCTAGGTCAGGGAGCAGGCCAGGAACAGGTCCCACCACCAGTGGCCTTCCATGCCCACAGGATTGCGTCCTCACAGGGAGGTGCGCTGCCCAGCTGCCACAGGGCAACAAATCATTTGGGGCATCATTACAAGACAACAGATAACTGTACAGGGAGCTTCAAGGCAGCATCAACAGAGGGCAGAAAGAATCCCGTCCTGCCTCCCCAGGCTCTGGCTTTACTCCACAACCAGAGGACCTCACTGAGGTCCCTCCTAGGGGACCAGAAGCATGGCACCTGACTCAGGGACAGTATCTGTCCAACCAAGTTCCCTCCTACTAAACCCCCAATTTCTTCCACACAGGAAAAGTGAGGAGAATAGGGCTCCTCACCGCAGGTAGAAGAGCAGGTAGGCCTGCTGGTTGAGAACCACCTTGACGTTGCTGGAATGGACCAAGGAGTCGTTCATCTGGTACCACTGTCCATTGCTTGCCTGTGCAGCACGGGGTTGTAGGAAACAAAACCATCACTTCAACAAAACAACATGAAGCATCTTACGGGTACCCCGCTGCTGACTAACTAGTAGCCATTCCTCGCTACATGTGTACCACCTGGAGGCTGGGGGACATGGCTCAGACCTGCCTGGCACACGTGAGGTCCCAGGTTCGATTCTCAACACCCCCCCCACACACACACACAATGTAATGTCTGTACCCTCCAAATGGGACCCCAAATTGTGCTGAGTTCCAGTTACTTCCTAGTGTCCCTCCTAAAGGGGACTTAGCAGATCTAAGCACCACAGCATCTCCCTAAACTTCTCCAGGTCCAAGGAGACAAGGCAGCCAGTTCTCCAGCACTAGGAGGTCTCACTGGCCCCAGAACACTATAGCTTCTACTGGAACTGTTTTGGTTTCTTTTTGTATTTTTGGTACCAGGGATTGAACACAGGGGCACTTAACCACGAGCCATATCCCCAGCCCTTTTTATTTATTTATTTTTAATTTTGAGATAGGGTCTTGCTAAGTTGTTGAGGCTGCCTTGACCCTGTGATGCTCCCGCCTCAGCCTTCCAAGCTGCTGGGATTACAGGTGTGTGCCACCGTGCCTGGCTGGAACCATTTTTAAAAACATCTTTCCATTCCACGCATAGAGGCCACAAGGACCTGAACACAACTGTAAAACCTCACCACTTTCCAGAATAAATGTGCAGAGGCCAAGTGTGACTTACACAGGCAAGGCCAGATTGCGCCCAGAAGGCAGCGCCAGCCCAGCAACCAGGGAAACTGGGCAGAATGCAGTAGCACCCACCTTCACGTAGCAGTAGTAGTGCCCGGCATGGCAGCTGTAACCTGAGTGGACCAAGACGGCGTAGAGTCCATACATGACAGGATCGCCATTACTCTGGGACATATATGGGCGGATGTTGAGGAATTCCGGATAGCCTACATCCTGTTTGAAAATTCAAGGAAGAAGACCACTTGGCTGTCTTTAACAATCTGGGGCCCCACCCCACACACACACTGGTCCATGATCAATGACAAAGGTCAAGCAGCCAAGGTGTGAGCCCTGTTCAACCCACCTAGGGGAAATGATCTGATTGTGCCGTTTAATGAATTACAATTGTTCTCTTCTTTGTCACACATCTAAGCTAGCTCTCACACTACCTGGCCCCCACCTATAAAATGAGAAGAGTAACTGGTTCCCTTCCCCTCTCCTCTACAGGAGCATGGCCGAGGGAAGAACAGGAACGCGTACTGGGGTCTAGGCCTTCAAAAAAAAGATGCTGAATGGATTCAGCCACCTGCTCTGGTAAGTTATGTTTCTAATAGATTGGGTCAGAACAACACTTATGCCAACATTAAAAAAAAAATCCCCCCCAAGAATATTTACATATTTTAAATTAGATGAGCTTTACAAGCAACTTGAGAACTCTAGAAAAAATGTTTTAAAAAATTATCTTTCCAAAGACAAGTGCCTTGCCCCAAACCACAGAGCCAGGCTCTAGCTAAGAACACAGTCATCTTTCAGTAAATGCCATTATGCAAAAAGTAGGTCTTTGCTCCACATGTCACAAAAAGCCACAGCATGCAACCACGCCTGTTTTAGACATGAGACAGAACACGGCAGACCACAGCCACAGTCCTGTGTTCACCAGACTTGCTCTTCAGGAAGCCTGACCTTCCCCACTGACAGCACCTGAGGACAAGCAGCAGCTATGGGGAGGGGTTGGTAAGATGGCAGCTCTTGACCTGGGCTGCATACAACAGTGACCTCAGGATTTGATGAAACACAGGTCCCCGGGCCCTAGGGTAAAGAGCAGCCCAGCTGCAGAATGGAGTGCAGTGAGCACGCACCTTGGTGATCTTCCCCCCACTGGAGTTGGCAAAGCGCTTGAGGGAAAGGGTGAGCACGTTGGAAGTCCTGTGGATGGTGAAGCGCTTGCTGGCGGGGACCTTCTTCTTGCATCTATGGAGATGGTGAGTGAAAAGGTGTCAGTTCACACTCTGAAGAACACCCTGTTTGCACTATGTGAATACAAGAACGACGGTCTGTAAGGGAGTCTTCTTAAGTGGGATTTGTGCCTTCTACACTCCAAACACCAAAACCAACTTGCCCTAAGTAAAAGAAAGCTACTGCAGGGCAGCCAAGGCTGGAGGAAAGATGAAGATGCCAAAGCAAAGATCCCTTACCAACCAGGAGGCCAAACAGATGCACAAGAAAGAACGACTTTGGCGCAACACAGGGAAGAACAAAGTAAAGCAAATGTGGCCAAAAGAAAATAGGCAGCGGGAAACTGCTGCAAGCAAAGCCAGAAGACAGGTAAAAGAAGGAGAGGAAATGGACACAGGTCACCAGCTCCCAGAGCCAAGGGCAGCAGAGCTGGAGAGGAATAAACTGGGCATAGAACAAAAAATTTGAAAAGCAGAATTAAGGAAATATTCTTTAGCAATCACAGCTTTAAAATAACCTACACATAAAGACATGTACCCAACAAGACTGCACAACACCAGAAGACCAGGCAGAGCCCTATGTGTGGAGCATGCCTCTTCTAAGGCTAGCAGGTGGTTCTCGTCCACTCACTATCAGTGAGGCCTCGAGCCAGTCCCTTCCCTTCCCTGTGCCTCAGTTTGCCCATCCTGGGCAGTGGGGATAATAGCGGTCCCCAGTTCACAAATCAATACATGTGCAGATACAGGGCACAAGCCACTGTAGAACCAGGGCCATGCCTTTGTTTGTGTTACTCCAGGATTGTTCATGAGACAGCAGGCTACTTGAGAAACACAAGCAGGGGTCACTCCACGAGAGGACAACATGTGCCGGGTCAGCACTTGTCTACACCTTCTGAACAGCCAGGCTTTTCCAGGGGCAGAGGGAAACTTACTTAGCACACATATAGGCATTGTCTCCACTCAGGACATCTGGCTTCACAAAAAGTTCCAGAGCACGCACAATATTTGCAGCTTGCTGAGAAGGAGAAAAACAGGGACTCGAATCAACAGCAAGAAAAAGGCTGACTCAAGAAATGCTGGATTTGGTCTCTTCCAGAAAAGGCTGAGGCAGCAAATCACAAAACTTAATTTTACATAGAACTGGTGCACTAACTGCCCACTCCTGAGATGGGAAAGTCCACCACAAAGGAGTAGAGAGCCAGGCTGTGCCCTTTCTCTGGTGGTGACAGTGACATCTACGTCAGATGTACCACGTGAATCAATTCCTTTCAACCAGACTGCAGCGGGATCGGTTCAGACAACTGCAGTGAAGGTAGAGCCCAAGGCCTCGCAATAGCAAGCCCAGCAAACTGAAGGGCCCCAGGCATGCCCTGAAGTCTGCAGGTTGTGTGGGGTGACTACGCTGGCACACTACTGCTGGGCACCCAAGGCTCAGTTCACCACTTTTTTTTTCAAATGAAAGGAATACACACAGGAGAAAGATGGACAGACATGCAGATGCGCTGCACCTGCGGCAGCCAGGGTTCTTTCCTTGCTCTCTCGCTCGTCTGCTCTGGCGCCTGCCCCCCACTGCGCTCCCTCTTCTGATGCACACGTGAGCACAGAGCCTCCCATACCCGGATCTCCAGGGCGATGTCCAAGTAGGGGTCATAGGTGTCCGAGACGCTCTTGCACACGGCACACTTCACTGCAACAGAACAAGAAAGCGGTGGGTAGCCCACGTGGGGACCCAGGCTCCAACACCCAGGAGGAGGCTGAGGGCTACAACTAACTCTCCACTGGCTTTTGCGAAGAGGATCGCCATGCCAGCCCCTTGAGAGTCAGAGTTGTGAGAGCTCCCTCTCACCAGCGGCGCTGCAATGCCAGCCCCACTCCTGTGGGCCGGCCCTGACGCCGACAGGCCAGCCTGGTGAGCCCTCTCAGGAGGAGGACAACAGCGCAAGCCGAGGACCTAAAATAGCACCACCACTCTGTGTGCATGCTCCAAACTTTTTCGCTTAGAAGTGAGCAGTGGACCCAGCAGGTGACCAGGGCTTGAGAGCCCCGTGACTGCATGCCTGGAGGCTCAAGGTTCCTGAGTCACGCTCCAACCCAATAAGGCATCAGGCTGGGTGGAGAAACATCCCCACTTACCTCGTGACCTGAGGTACCCTCCAAATATCTGATGCACCAGGGTAGTAGCCTGTGTCTGACGATCCAATCTGCAAAGGAGGCCACATGCCCTTGAGCGCTTCATGACACACAGAGCTGTACTCACACTCAGCCCCACGGGACCCAAGAGGCTCTCCCCACTCAATGCCCTAATCTGTGCCTGAGCTCCTAGCAGTGCCAAGGCTTCCCACAGAGCTCCCTGAATCAATAGGCAACCCTGCTGCCTGCTTCTCAGGAAACCACAAGCTCAGAAATGCCCTGCATCCTCACCATCTCGCCTCTTCTTTTCAGTCTCAATAAGATAGGGAGGATCCAAACATGGGATGGGGCTGGAGGCCAAGCCTCCCACACCCTCCGCTGCGCAGAGGAGCGATGGAATGGGCAGGAGCAAAGCCCTTCCATACCCTTCTTAGCTGAGGACAGCAGAGACAGGCCATCCTGCATTCTAATCCCTCAGCACTGCTTCCTCAGCAGAGCCTGGGCACTGAACACCCACTCCTGCCAGCAAAGGCAAGACTATGCACAGCACCCCACGTTGGATTTCTGCTCTTGGCTCCTTGCCCACCTTCTGCATCTGGCTATGAAACTGTCCTCCTCCACTACCAAAGGGCTCTGCAGTACTAATCCCACAGCTCTGGAACCTTCTATAGAAGACTGGGGTACCTGGTCCCCAGACTAGTGCCCCCTTCCAGGCCCTCGGCTCCCTCCAGACTGCTCAGGGGCATCTCACCCTGAGCCAGGTGCAGAGGGTGCTGCCTCCAGGGCTCCCTTCACACTGTGTCTGCACAGTTGTCGCTGCAGCTTTGCCAACTCCTATAGAGCATGAGGTCCATGCCAGGCCTTCACTGACCTAATGCTTCCCAGACTCTGGGAGCTCCAAAATATTTGAGGGACCAGATTTTTACATTGTTAGAAAAAGTTAAGAAAATGTAAAGTCAACTGCTACTATCTACTAGCACCACGATTCATCAAAAGAAGGTATGTTTTAACCAAAAACCAGCAAGGACATGACCTCAGAGCACATGCAAACTTGTGGATGGCTCTATGCTGGACAGTCATGGGGAAGGCGCCAGGAAGTTCCGAGGCATCCCATGAATACGTTCTGACCACGGTGCAAGTCACACCCAAATCATCCATGCCACCAAACCCAAAAGGGCCTTCCACCTGCATGTTAAACAGAACACTGGGCTTTCTCTCCCCTACCTCTCTCTAGACCAGTGGAAGTGAGCACCACATCCCACCTGGCACCTCATCTGCCTCCCTTCGTCCAGTGCTGGCCAATGGTTCAAACCACATACCTGGACTCTCTCCGGGCCACATGAACCCAAACTACCCCTTCCCCCAGCCCACACCTCCCAGCCTCTCCCATTCGCAGATCCTGGCTGAGTGGTCAGGCCTGGGCCCGGCATCAGCTCCTGTCTTGCACTTGCCAAGTGACTATTCTGTGCCGGCCACTACTCCAGACCCTACAGCCGCTCTCACCCAGGCCCAGTCACACATCTCTCGACTTCAGCCAAATGAGTTCTAGGGTCACTTCTCCAGAGGAGGTGGCAGGGTGGCTCCCCATCATAAGGTGTGGTCCAGTCCCTGGAGACCGCACTGCCCACAGGTGATGTGAATGCTGGCTGACTGACTTGTCTTCCAACCACACTGGGAGCTCCTCAGACTCAGGATCTCATTTGTGACTTCTAAATTCCCAGCACCTGCTACTAGTTTGGCACTCAAAGGTATTAAGCAAATAACTAGTGCTTGAATTAGATTCCATGAAAGGAGTAGACCCTATCTGTGTGGAGGGAAGGGCTCAAGTCCCTCCAGCAGGGAGGGAAGAGCCCATGAGCAAACCCTCAGATAGTGAACCAGAATACAAGAATCTCAAGAAAGATTACTATTTATAAATAAGACTCTCATCCACTGAAACCAGTGGTTTCCCCGTTTTAACCACTGCTACAACTCAATTAACCCTTCTAAAGAACATTCTAGATGTTTCCTACATTGTTTAGGTAAGTATTTTCAGAATATTCAGTTCTCTTTGGAGCCTGGTCTCAGGACCAGTGAATTCAGGGAGCACCCAAAAGCACCTCCAACCAGTCACAGTGGTGCATGCCTGTAATCTCAGGGGCTTAGGAGACCGAGGCAGGCTAAATTGTAAGTTCAAAGCCAGCTTCAGCAACTTAGCGAGGCACTCAGTGAGACCCCCGTCTCAAGGGCCGGGGATGTGGCTCAGTGGTTAAGCACTCCTGGGTTCAATCCTTAGTACCCCCCCACCAAAAAAAAGCACTTCCAGATGGTGACCAGAAGCCTCAGGACACATAAGAGGAAGCAGTCACTTGCTACAAAGGTGAAGATGCAGTGAACACAGTGTCAAACATTGAACACCAGAGCCCCACCCCCTTCCAAGTTCACCCATGAACTGCCACTGTCTGAATCCAAGAAACAAAGTGACTTTAGAAAGACCAGAACTTCCTCCAGGAGACCTGAGAAAGCACTTCCCCTCCCCTGAGCCCCAGGACAGCACTGCTATGGCCTCGCCCTGCCACCTGATCCTGTCACTGTCATGGGCAGGGGTGTTGGGGTGACAGTCCTGCCCTGGCAGCCCCCTGCTTGGGCTCTGGAAGTCTGGCGTCCACAAACAAACTCTGCCGTCCGCAGAGGAAGGTCGGGAGGCGGAGGGCTGCTCCCTCCCCAGGCAGTGCCATGGAGCCGCAGCCCCAGGAGAAGTGGGGAGTGGAGGACCTACTTGGCACAGCCGTTCAAGCAGGCCTTCTGCATGGCGTCGATGGTGTACCGGAGAAACTCATGCGCATCCTCTTGGTTCCCAAAGCGGAAGTGCCGGGCGATCTCTGAATGAGAAGACAATGGGTAGGAAGAGCTGCCAGCCCCACTGCCAATCACCAGGCACCTCAGGGGAAATGTGCCAAGTGAGGAAGTTGCAGCTCTTTCCTTAGTGAGATTGAGGACTTAAACCCTGCTCCTTAGCAGGAAGCAGACACCACTCAGATGTAAGGGCCGCCAATAAACTAGCTTCCCAAGGCAGCCCAGAACACGAATGCATCCAAACCCTGCTTTAGCGCCACAACCTACACAGGTTCAAACTGCCACTGTGGGTCCGTCTTTCCTGCCAAGTGAATGGGAAATCTGATTCCCACAGCACGCGCTCCTCTGACGCCCAGAAAGACTTGGCATGTCCCCATCTGCCCCCCTCCCCTGCTCACCTGCCAATACTAAACACACACACAAGCAGTCCCTCTGCCTGGCCAGACCCATCCTCACCAGGAGGACTTCTCCACCCACCTGACCCAGCCCCTCTCAAAGCCCACCCTTTGGTCTACACTGCTAAATGCAGTATCTTTAGCATGCAAGGATTCCTAAGACCCCATGCATGACTTTCTCGGCCGTCCAGCGGCTCACATGCCGACCAGAGCTAGTGTTTTGCAGGCATTTCACCATGGGTCCACCCTTACTTTTCAGATCACGGATGAAGGAGACGGGCTTGATGGCGTTGCCACTGTTGGCGAAGGCCTGGACAATGTGGTTCTGCATGACGCACAGCATGCAGAAGCTTCCGTGGTGACCTGCCACATGGAAGAAGCAATGTTAGGACAAGAGCTTTTTCAAGAACTTAGAATGATACCTCCAAATGAGGCCTCCCCAGACCTGTGAAGGTCGTCGGCTGGGTGGCAGAGATCCCAGGGCTATGGACTTGGGATCAGAAGGAAAATGCTCCCTTTGCTGGAGAGTGCTGGGGGGTGGCCATGACTCGCCCACAGTGGTAGCTCTACACACTGCACACCAGCACTGCAGGTAGTCACTGGTCATGCCGCACCATTATCATTTACACAAAGGATAAGCTCTACTTTCAACAGGAAGCTCAGAAAAATATCTCCTTTAATTTCTAAGTTACGTCATTTGGCCAACATTCTTAAGTATTTTAAGGCTTTCTAATGGTTCTTCAGTTTGCACCTCAATTGCAGGTACCTCGGCTCTGCTGTGTGCAGTAAATACCTCACTGCCATTCATCAGTGCTGAAAACTGAGGCTCAAAACAGCAAATATTTTTGGTCTTGTAAACTATGCAATGTCCACCACAACGGTGCCCTTCTGCCACTGAAATGCAAAAGCAGCCACACACAATATGACAGGTATGCAAGTGCTCAACAAAACCTGACTACAAACCAGGTCAGGCCCACATCCACCTGCTGACCCCTGCTGGATGTAAAGAACTGGCTTCTCACTAGGCACAGACCCAAGTGGCACATTCTTACCTCTACAATTGAGATGTATTTTAAATACAAAAAGATGTACAAAGACTATCATACCACCCAGCCCCACTCCATTTTAGGCGTCTTGTAACTAAAACACTAGTGTAAGAGTTGAACTCTCCCAATCCCATCTCTAGGTTCCTTCATCCACGTGAGCACTACCTGGGACGAGGCCATTCCTGTAGTGTTCACACATGGTGCGTATCCATAAGCAATAACTGCTGTTTGGTTGTGTGCTTACAAACTCCATCGCTATCAGCAGCCTGGTTTTTACAATACTGCTGTAGACGCAGTGCTAGTCCTGTCACCACTATCTCCCCATGGCACAGCAATCCTGTGAACAGCTGTTTCACACGTCTCCAAGAACATTCACAAACCTAGTTTTCACCGTAGACTTCTGACCTGTCAAACCATATCCATTCATTACATTTTTTTTAAATGATAGTAATGGTTGGAGGACTCAAAAATTAGGACTCATAAACTAGAATTAGTAATTTAAAAACAAAACAGGGACTTTAAAAACTGTTAAAAGCCCTTCTGTTCAAGATCTAACCTTAATGAGGATAGGAAAGGCGTATGGAAAGTGTGTGTCCCCTCACCATGTGGGAGTCCACTAATGCCCAGCCTCACACAACACCCCTTAAATAGAGCAAGGTATAACCTAAGGTGCAGTTTCCCCAAACCCTGGCAGTGTCTGAGATTAAGTAGTACAGGGAAAACACTTTTTCATGCAATTTATAAAACCATAACTCAAAAGTGACTCCCATGACTTCAGGGACACTGCTGCTCAGGCCGGGACCAGGGCCCGCCTGTGTCCCTCTGGGGTTGCTCACGTGCTGGTCTTCCATCTCACTGCTGCCCAGGAGGCCCCTGGTGCAGTGCAGCCTCCACCTTCAGGGCTCCTCTAGCAGCACCGGGAGAGATAGAGCACAGCCCAGTCCACACGGGGCCCTCTCAGGTATGGGTGGGGTGCAGGGAGAAAAGCTCATGCCTCTTCTCCATACCTCTTACACAGAATGCCGGGACACTGCACGCATTAATACTTCAGAGTGGCAGTGGCCTCAACTAGGGCAGCCAGTGCTGCTCACAGGAGGAAGAGTGGGCAGTCCACCCAGAGGCACTGACCACAACTGTTCACTCATAGGCCTGCTACCGATCCAGTGCCACTTACCTGTGCACGTCACCAGGACTTAGAGACGTGACCTAGTTTAGCTAAATTCATCATCACAAAGCTGAAAAATGGCTCAAAAAATACTCCTGCAGAGAAACCCAGAATGGAAGACAGCTAGCTCTGCAGGAGGAAGACGGCAGCACGACCTCACCGTCTCACTGCCAGAGCCAGAAAGAAACACAAGGACACCTGCCAAAGCGCACTCAGAAGGCCACCTGAACAACCTCCAAGTCACCAAGGAGACTACTGGAAACAGGGCGGGTCCCAGTGCGAAGCACCAGTTCCACCCTCGAAGAGCACGAAGAGCACGGGCCGGCCCTGGCCCTCCGTGGCTGTGTGCGCTCACTAACGCTGTCTGCACCACAGGGCCACCTCCCGTTGCTCTTTCACAAGAGAACCCACCCCCTGCATTGGGCACACAGCCCCACAACGTTGCCCCAGCTCTGCGCCTGCCTTCTCCATCCCCCTGCCTCTGGTTCCACTCTCATTTCCTGATTCTGAACTGTTCACCTATCCTCTTGGTGCCTTCCCTTCCTTGAAGTTTCGCCACATACACGTGCACCTCAATACTCCATTCCCGGTCAGCGTGTCAGCGACAAGAGGAGGAGTCACGCCACCCGGCTCCCGGGGATTTCTCCTGTGCAGGACCTTCAGAAGCTGCCTGTCAGCTCTGCCTTGCTCTGTGGTTGGGCTTTTGGGTTGCTTGCTGTCTTTTGCTGCAGATCTTTTTATGATGTTTTCTATTTTTCATTTTAAAACTTTCTGAGGTGAGACCTGAGTAATTCCCCTGCCTCAGCCATCAAGGAGCCAGGACTATACCAGCAGACATTTTTACACCCATGCTAGATCCTGGCTGTAGGAGCAGAATTGCCGGGTGATAGACTTTGTGAAAGTTAATGCCATACTGTTTCCCAAAGCAGTCATGCTAGTTCAGGCTGAGAGTATAAAAAGAATCCCTGAACTTCATCCTGACAATCATACTGAACCTCTGAACTTTTATGACTCACAAAGGTGAGAAATGGTACCCTCTGTGATTTTCATGACCTCCTTGAGGACTACCCCGCTGAACATCATGGCACGTGCTTCTTTGATACCTTGAGTTGCCTCTTCTAATTTTATCTATTATTTTACTTTACTTATCTACTTATGTTTTGGTACTGGTGTTAAACACAGGGCACTTGACCACTAAGCCACACGCCCAACCCTTTTAATTTCTTATTTCGAAACAGGGTCTTGCTAAGTTGATGAGGCTGGCTTTGAACTTGTGATCCTCCTGCCTCAGCCTTCCAAGCTGTTGGGATTACAGGCGTGTGCCACCTCGCCCAGCAATTTTATCTTTTTTTTGGCAGGCAGGGTGGTAGTGGTGGGTTCCCAGGAATTGAACTCAAGGGCACTCGACCACCGAGCCACATCCCAGCCCTATTTTGTATTTTATTTAGAGACAGGGTCTCACTGAGTTGCTTAGCACCTCACTTTTGCTGAGGCTGGCTTTGAACTCAAGATCCTCCTGCCTCAGCCTTCGGAGCCACTGGGATTACAGGCGTGTGCCACTGCACCCAGCAATTTTATCTATTTTTTAACAATCTTTTATGTTGATTTTTAGTTCTTTATACATTCTTAACACCAATGCTTTGTTTGTTCATTTCAGGCTTGTAACTGATCTTTTAATTTTCTTTAACTCACTATGTCTTGGCATCCCCTACACAGACTTTGTCAATGCCAAGATATATTTGTTTTCTGATAAACAGAAGTCCTTAAAGCTAATACATCTGAGTTTACCAAATTTTTTTAATGATCCATGCTTTAAGTTTTAAGAAATCCCCTAAGGTCAAAAAACTATTTACCGGGCTGGGGTTGTGGCTCAGCAGTAGAGCGCTTGCCTAGCACATGCGAGTCCCTGGGTTCAATCCTCAGCACCACATGTAAATAAATAAAATAAAGGTATTGTGTCCAAGTACAACTAAAATATAAATATTAAAAAAGAAAGACTTTAGATAGGAGACTCTCAAAAGATAACATCAGCAGAGTTTAAAAAAAAAACTATTTACCTACATTTATTCTAAATGCACTGAGTTTTTCTTCTGATACTAAGTTTTTCATCCACTCTTTTCTTTTGCAAATGATCTGATATGAAAACCCTGTGTCAGTGTCTACCTAGGTAAAGCAAAGTGTTTGTTTTGATTCCAGTTATTAAAATGACAGACCCAAGTACGATTATGTACAGTCAGTCTGCACCTCCACATACCCATAGGTACGTGGCCTGCTTCTGGGCTCTCCATTCTACTCCACTGGTCAGGACATCCCTCCTACATCTAACACTATGACTTTTTCACCTCCGAGACTCTATAGCAAGCCTCTATTTGGTAGAACATATCCCTTCTCGTAGTTGTCTTCTTCAGAAGTGCCTCTGAGGTCCGGAAATGTTACTTCAGTGGTACAGCACTTGCCTAGCATGTGCCGGGTCCTGGGTTTCATCCCCAGCAAAACACACACCACCAGCAAATAAATGGTATTTTGGCCATTTTTGGTCCCTTGCTTTTCTATTAAACTTAGAACCAACTGGATGAACATTAATCTACAAATCTGGGGAAAAACCAACATTTTCATTAGTACTGGGGACTGAACCCTGGGGTGCTTTATCACTAAGCCACATCTTAAGCCCTTTTTACATTTCGAGACGGTCTCCTTAAGATGTTTAGGGCCTTGCTGAATTGAACTTGGGATCCTACTGACTCAATCTCCCGAGTCTCTGTGCTACCACACCCGTTGAAAACCAACATTTTTATAATAAGAAGTCTCTCCCCTGTTAAGGCAACTTTCTGTCCATTCAGGTAGGCTGTCATTTAATGTCCTTCAGTGAAGGTTTTCCACATGCACCTCACTAAATTTAGGTCTAGCCTTTATTGCTTATGTTGCTATTTTTTTAAGACAGTAAATTGTTTATTTGGTATAGAAAAATTCAGCTAAGTTTTATATATTGATTTTATGTCTAGTCACATTGCCAAATTCCCCTTGCTAATTTGTCTACATATTCTTTTGATTTCACATGTAAGAACAGTTTTCAAATTATTGTGGTACTCTCCCCTCCTTTCCTATATGCCACAGCTCTGGCCAGGTGCAACACAATCTTTCTTTTTTGGCACTGGGGATTGAACCTAGGGGTGTTCTACCACTGAGTTTAATCCCCAGCCCTATTTTTCACTTTGAGACAGGGTCTCACTAAGTTGTTCAAGGCCTAAGTTGCTGAGGCTGGCCTTGAACTTGCAATCCCTAGCCTCAGCCTCCCGAGTTGCTGGGACTACAGGCGAGTGCCACTGCACCCAGCCAGGAGCACCACGGTCCTAAACAGAGGTGGTGAGGGCAGCCACACATGCCTCACCATGATCTGAAGTGTACACTTCCAGGACTTTCTTCTTTAGAATGGTGCTCTGTGCCTTTTATGTTTTTTAGCACTTGTGCTTTTATCAGGGTAAGGAAATGCCCATGTATTACCACTCTGCTAAGAGTTGTATTTCTTTTAATTAAGAATATTTTCAGCTGACTTTTCTCTTTCACTTCATTAATAAAGCAATTAATTGCATAGGTAGCAAAATTAGCAGTCACTTATACAGCACTTTCTGTGTGCCTAGCTCTGCGCTCAGCATTTCACATAGCCACTTGAGCTTCATGACAACTCTGTAAGGATGATGCTATTTTGCACCCCAGGACAGGGGGCACAGAGAAGGCAGGTAGACTCCCAGCAGGACTGGGAGGCAGGCCTGCAGGCCAGCTCCAGGCCCTCAGCTACAGTGCTGTGGCCCTGCAACTTCATGAGATTTCCTGGCAGCAAAACGCCTTCATAGTCCCCTGCTCATGTTCTGAAAAACCATTCAGTCTGCTAGTATTCCATCTAGAATTTTACACCTAGTTCATGAGATTATAAATTTTCTTTCTCATATTATCCTTAATTTTGAAATCCAAGTTATAAGAACCTTCCAGAACAAGGAGGGGAATATTTTCTTTTCTGATTTACTAGATGACTTTGTGAAAGATCGGCATGATTTAGTTCACAGAACTTACCTATAAGGGCTGGGATGTAGCTCAGGGGCACAGCATTTGCCTAGCATGCATGTGAGGCCTTGGGTTTGATCCCCAGTACCAAAGGGGGGAAAAAAAAAAACCCTTACCCATGATATCATCCTAGTCTGATGCTGAAGTCATTTGCTTCATTTTTAAAAAATATTTTTATAACGTTTATTTATTTTTTATGTGGTGCTGATAATCAAACCCAGTGCCTCACATATAATAGGCAAGCGTCCTGCCACTGAGCCACAGTCCCAGCCCTTTACTTTATATATAATATTATCTGTTTATGTGTGGTGCTGAGAATCGAACTCAGTGGCTCACATATGGTAGGCAAGTGCTCTACCACTGAGCCACCACCTCAGCCCCTTCACTGTCTTTAATAGTTAAAAAAAACTCCTTAGACTTTTGATCCTTTTTTTAAACTTTTTTTTATTTTGGTACTGAAGACTGAACCCAGGGGTGCTTAATCACTGAGCTACACTCCTAGACCATTTAACTTTTCCTTTACAGACAGGGTCTCACTAAGTTGCTGGTGTTACAGAGGTACCCCCATCACACCTGGAGTTTTGTTTTTTTTTTTTAAGTATTTTTTTTAGATGTTGATGTACCTTTATTTTACTCATTTATTTATATGCAATGCTAAGAATCGAACCCAGTCCCTCACACATGCTAGACAAGCACTCTACCACTTAGCCACAACCCCAGCCCCATGCTTGGCTTTTTTTTTTTTTTTAAACCTTTATTTTATTTATTTTAATGTGGTGCTGAGGATTGAACCCAGAGCCCCACCTATCACTGAGCTACAACTTCAGCCCCACACCTGGCTTTTGATGTCATATTTTAAATCATTTTAACTTCTACTTTGAAACGTGTTTTTTTAAAATACTTTTTTAGTTGTAGATGGACACAATATCTGTTTATTAATTTATTTTTTATGTGGTGCTAAGGATTGAACCCAGTGCCTCACACGTGAGAGGAAAGCGCTCTACCACTGAGCTACAGCCCCAGCCCGAGACATGTTTTATAGTGTACGTACAACACTGGTATACAGATGTACAAAATAATTGAATATATGTATTTTGGGGCTATCTTTTGCAAACCTTCATTTCTGTGTGGGTAATTACCTTCAGAAGAGTTTGGAGAACACAAACAAACTTGCACATCCTATCCTACAGCAAATCCAATTAAAATGTGGGCTTTTTTAATTTAGAGGAGGCTCTACTATGTCGTCCAGGCTGGCCTTAAACTCACAGTCCCCTTGCCTTAGCCTCCTGAGCAGCTGGGACTGCAGGTGTGCTCCCCTTCCAGGTGGGTTTTACCAGTTACTACACATCAGCAACTCCACCAGGGTGATCCAGGTGTTATCTTTAACAGTGCCTGAGTGTACGGGTTTCTCTGGTGGAGACTGAGTGGTTCCACTAGCTCAGTCACCCCGCAATGCCAGCCCCCACTCACAGTTCCGTGCATGCTCCTTGGAAAGCAGGTAGTTGGCCAGAGGCGGTGTGTAGGTCAAGCACTGTATGGTGGAGTTCAGGAAGCAGGTGTTGCCCAAGTTGTGCAGCCCTGCGCCAACTCGGAAAACCCGCTCCCACCTCAAAGACAGGCGCTCTGTGGGGAAGAGCACTTTCTGTGGGGCTGGGACTCCATCACCACCACATGGGCGCTCACTCCCTAAAGAAAAAAGGAACAAGGGAAGAAAAGGAGACAAATAAGTCTACACAGGCAGACCCCAAAAGAACCCTAGACATTTTCTTAGCATGTGGTTGGTCAGAACTGGAGGGCACTAGTACTCCCAGGACTGGACCCCCAGGGAGCCAGCTCAGAGTAAGCAGTCAGAGCAGGGGCTTTCCCGACCGCTCAGTTCTAGAACTCAGGCCCCTGTGGAGATAAAGGATCTGGGCCTTGGCACGGTGCCCAGCTATGGCCACATGCAGTCTACCTCATTTCTCTACCGCCAAGCTTGGCTTTCAATTCTATTAAACCCAGGGCAAGAGATCACTGGAGGTGGCGGGGTGGGGGGAAAGGGGAAGTTTGTTATGAAGAACCCCTAAGTACACACCATCTTCCTAGAAACATCTACAACTGATGCCCATGGACCCCACGTGAAGTCCAGCACTCCCTGTGACATTCTAGTACCCACAGTGGGCCCATCACTCAGCCAACACCGAGTGAGGCCTCCCTGCCAGTGCCCCGCATGTCCATACCCTGTCTCCTGGCCTGAGCCTCATCTCCACTCCGGGGGCGACTGGCGCCCTCCGTCTTGGGGTTTAGCAGCAGATATTTGCTCTTCAAGGACTCTAGCTGGTAGGAGAAGCTCTTGCTGGCTGGCTCGAACTCGATCTTCTGTAAAAGGACCTTCTTGGCGGAGGACGCCAGCAGTTTTCCCAGTTCCCCATCCTCAGCCGAGTCCTTGCGACCAGGTTTCAGGGCTTCCTTCAACTTATCGACTATTGGCATGGTGCATTCCTGAGGGGATAGAAGGAACACAGATCTACAAACCACTATGTCCAAGGAATAAGAGCTTCTGCTTGGTCATCATGGATGCCAGCCATCACAAAAGCTTCCCTGGTCAGCTACCATCCTAAAGGAAGCATGAGACAGGAAGACACAGACCCACGAGAGTCCGTACTTCACCTCTCAAGATACATTACAGCCAGGCAAGGTGGCAAGCGCCTATAATCCCAGCGGCTGGGGATTACAAATTCAAGGCCAGCCTCACCAACTTAGCAAGCCCTGAGCAACTCGGTGAGACCTTGTCTCAAAGTAAAAAATAAAAGAGCTGGGGATGTGGCTCAGTGGTTAAGCACCCCTGGGTTCAATCCCTGGTACCAAAAATTCAAGACAAGTGCACAAAGAGCTGAGAATGCCCAGGGATAGCATCTGGGCTGCTAGGCCACCCTGCCTCGAGCCCTCAATCAATATACACCAAGTGTCTGCAAGTCAGGCTATTTCCTTCAAAGGGACAACACAGGGCCCCAATGTCTGCTCAAAAGCAGGGAAACACTTATTTGTGTACATGCTCTGGTTACTTACACACATATAGCCTTGTAATAAAGGAACAGCACACAAGGGGATGGGCACATGTCTGTAGACCTATGCTCTTCAGAAGAAGGCCGTGGATCACGAGGCTCCTGAGCACGGGAAATCAGGCTAGTCCCCAGCAGAAAACACGCCACCAGACTTAAAGGCTTAGTTAGGAATGCGAAACATCTCAAAAACTGGTTACATGTCAAAATGATAATATTTTGTATATATTGGGTTTAAAAAAATGAAAATCAACTTCACCTCCCTTTTTTACTTTTCCAATGTGGCTGCAGTAAAACTTAACTTTACATTTGTGGCTCTCATCATATTTCTATCACTGTATGTACAAATCATCTAAAACTAAGGGAAGAAAAACAAAAAGGAAACAAAGTAATTTTTTAAAAAGTGAAGGAGAAGTAAGAAAAGAACAAAGGATCAGACCTGGAATAGCATGTACAAGACACCTAATGTTAGACAAAGGTTCTCCCACCTCTTTCAAATAGCAAGGAAGAAGTAGGCAGGAGGGGACACAGGTTTTAAAGGTAGCCAGTTTGGGTCACTCTGTCATCTTTAACTACCCATGCAGGGACAAGTACTTTTTACAAGATCTCCTGTTCTTGGATTGTAAAATACAGACAAAAATAGGTGGGAAGCTGGCTGCAGGGACTAGAGAGCAGGCTCATTACACTGGGCCTGCCACCCCTGGCAGGTGCAGACTCTGCAAGGAGGGGAATCCCTCCCTCACCTCAGCCAGCTCCACCCACATCACCCTGCTCCCCGGCCCCTGTCCTAGCCAAAGCTTAGACTGAGCCAGTCAAAAAAACATGTCCCTGAAACTGCTCACTCCCTCCAGACAAATGAGGGTTCCCAGGGTACCCGGTACTAGGAGTGCCTAGGGAATTAGCTAGTTACACCCCAAAGTCCGACCTAGTGAATCCATGGATCTCTAATTAAGTCTTTCAAATCTCTTACCGTGGGCCCCCTAATTCCATACAAGAAGAGAAATCCAAGGAAGTTATTCTTTAAAAAAGAAAGCACGGCGCTCTGGTGTCCTCACCAGAAACTGTTGAGTGGGGGTTATCTGAGACTTCTTGCCAAAGCAACCAACTCAGCTGGGCACACTCAGCAAACAGGCAAGAAAGAGGCACTCAGACCTTTGCAGGCTCACCTGGGATGCCTGGCCGAGGTGGGCTGCTCCCCCAACAGCGGGGAATCAAGTTCTCTGGGCACTTCAATCCAGGGACTCCCAGAGGATGGCCTGTTCAGTCGCCAATGCGGCCACATGCAGAGTCCAGAAAGGGTGTCAGCACCTGTGGGCAAGCAGTGAGACCATGACCCAGGATGACTCTTCCCTGCTGTCTCTTCAGTCTTTCCATGAATGCAGTGTGGGAACTGCGACCTTTTACCAGGACAAAGTCATCATTAAGGTTAAAGGGATATCTCTGTGGCTAAGCTCAGGATACGTCCAGAGAACTGTGCTAACCAACCACAAATTATTGCAATGTACACACAAGGATGACACTGTTACCTGCTCCACATCTTTACCCAGACACTCTCCACACCTTCCAGTCCACTAAAGTCTAAATCTCATCTCCAAAGAGTAAGGGTATTGTAATAATAAAGTTGTCAAACTTTTACTTTGCTTGGTATAGACTTTAACTTCTATCTATAGTTACTATGACTTACATATAATTAAGGTGCTTAGAAATGTTTACAGCAAAAATTCAAACATACAAAGTATAGAGGGAACATGGCCCCGGTGCTCAGCTTCAGTAGCTGCCTGACCAATCCTGATTAGCTCCCCCCAACCCAGGCTGCTGTGCAGCAAATCTCATACCTTCCATCCCATCCTTAAATAAAACCCTATCAACATCCCCCACCAAAAACCCCCATAATGGAATGAACTCAGAATAAGGGACAATCTGCAAAGCGATGACATCCATTCCTCTAAAACCCTCCCCAAAATGTCACTGGGATTTTTTTGGGTCACAATTTCACACCTTACCATGGCCAGATGAGAATCCTGTCCTGGACCAATATGGGTCCACTAGCTCACATTCAGAAGCTACTTAGCTAGAGGATTAAGCAAACACTCAGGAAATTTAATCAAGTTCCATCATGGATAACAAACTACTCTAATGCAGAGTCGAATATTTTCAACAATTTTTCAAGTTGTGGCAGAAAGATCAATATCTCCAACTCCACCTGAAACATTAAGTAATGACCTAAAAACTGCTCACTCTCTGAGGTGTAGGAACCAAGAAAAATATTCTTGCAATCACCAGTCAGCCTCTGGTGTGCATCCTTGTTAGCACAGACGCTCTCTGCAGTCCAAGAACAGCTTACAGCTTAGACACACATTTCTGCTTCTGAGATGACTCAAGTGCAGCCTCCTTGTAACAAAGCCTCTTAAATACATTCTCTCCCTCCCTCTTCCCTTTAAATTCACTTCCAAGATAAACTGCACTCGAGATTCACAGAGTCAACCACAAGCTAGAGAAGACCAGCCCAAGACAAGAGGGTTGGGGCCTCCTTGGGGCCCCTTAGAGGGGGCCTGCCAGACACCCCATGCATCCTGGGCAGAGCCAATGTCTCCTTGGAGCCTGCTTCTTGGCATCCACTGCAGAAACAGGACTATGTGTGCAGTGGGGTACTCTTCCCTCTCCTGTCTGTTTTAGGATAGTACTCTGGTACTAAGGGCTCTAGGGAGCATGTCATACAACCAACCCATCACAAGCAACTGGCACTTTAAAACCCACATCTCCTGCCAGGTCTCATCAGGGCGCTCTTCCATGGTGACCATGAGGAAGGTTACCTTCTGCATATCTCAGTGAAAGGAAGCGCGTCTCTGCTCCACACGCAAAACGCTCTCAACCCACTTTGACCTAGCCCTGGATAAAGTCTGGTCCCTGGATAAAGGATACTTTTGTGGGTAAAGGCTGCCCAACTGGACACAGTCTGTTACTTTCTCCCCTGCCCTTGGCTCCTACCTGGGTCCAGTTGTGCCCTCCATCCCGGCAGGGTCACCGCAAATCCGTGCTTGGACTGCACAATCCAGGACCCAAGACTTTTCTGAAGACACCACCGACCCCTGATGACACAGCTCTCCCCCGGCCCACACCAATCCCTGCATGGACCAGGGCCTCACACCTCTTCACTGAGGCTCGGCCTCGGGCCTTCCATGAGGTTCTTGTAAAGTCCCTCCGGAACAGTGTATCCCCTGCCCCCGTGCTCCCTGGGTCATCCCAAGACCTCTGTGGATCCTCTTGGCCCTCGGTGGGGTCACCCAGAGACCCTAGAGGGCAGCGCATCCCCTGTCACGCCCCACGTCACCCTGAGGCCCTCGTGGACCCTCATGGCCCTCCACGGGGTCACCCCGAGCCCCTCGTAGACAGCGAACCTCCTGGTGCTCCCTGGGTCATGCCAGGACCTTGGTGAATCCTTGTTGCCACCGCCGGGGTCACCCCAGACCCTTGTGGACAGAGCATCCCCCAGGCCACCTTGAGACACTCGTGGACTCTCATGGCCTTCCGTGAGGTCACCCCGAGCCCCTCGTGGACCCTCGTGGCCCTCCGCGGGGTCACCCCGAGCCCCTCGTGGACCCTCGTGGCCCTCCGCGGGGTCCTCCCGAGTCCTTCGTGGACACCGCATCTCCCGGCGCACCGCGGACATCCCGGACCCAGGCGGACGCGCGCCCGCGCCTTCTCCGAACGCCCCGAGTACCCTGCGCCCCGCCACCCCTTCCCGCGCCCCAGGCCCGGCGGAAGCCCCCTCGCGGGCCTGCGCCCCGCCCCGCCAGGCCCCAGCCTAACCTGGCCCCCAGCGGCCCGCGGCAGGCCCGCGCAGCGCTGGCGTCTCCTCGGCCCGGGCCGCACGCGCACCATCCGGGCCTCCAGCGCCTCACACACGTGTCACAGGGACGCTTAAAGGAGTCGCACTTTGCCGCCGCTCTTTGCCGGCACCGAGAAGTCCGGGCTGCTTTAAGAGGCGGGGATATCTTGGGCCCTCTTCCTGGATCCGCCCACCGCCGCTTTACGCGCCGTCAGCGTCGCCTCCCGGTCCGGAGGTCCCGCCAGCCTACGCAGTGACGCAAGCGCGCAGAGCCGAGACGCCCCGCCCCCGGGCCGTGGCGCAGGAGGTTTCCGCAGAGCTCTTGCAGCACCGCCACTTCCGGGTCCACGGCGTGCCTGTGGGCAGGCGGGTGCTGCCAGCCGAGGCGCAGAGCGGGGGCTCCCTGGGCCGGCCAGCGGAGGAGGGCGCCGAGCCTCTCTCACGCGCGGGAGGGGCTCCTGCCTGTCACCTGGCCTTGCGGAGAGAGCGGCGCCTGGCCGACTGGAGCTTTGTGCCATTGGAAACGAAGGAACGCTCGCAGCTCCCCCGCGATGAGCCCAGTACCAGGGAGGTGGCTCCTGGGGTGAGGGATCAGTTTTGGTTTTCAGCTTTCGAAGTCTCTGGATACCTGAGCACGATCCTCCAACTCCAGCTGTCACCTCTGATAGTTTTTCCCTACACGACTGTACGTGAAGGCCTCGGCCGAATAGTTACAAACAGGGATTGCCTTTGCAATATTTCTAAAACTTCCCCTAACCCTTGACTTGATTGGCTTTCCTGTCCCCGTTCTCCAAGGCAGATGGAGAGAGTGGCCCCTGGCCCGACTTCAGGAGCTACCAGAGCAGCAAAGGCATCAACTATTTTTTCCAAAAGGTAGAACTTGCGTACATAATCCCTATGTTCCTTGACTGATAAGTTGCCGAGTCCGGCTGCAGCAAAATAACCGGGGGGGTGACGAATAACTTGTGTACATTGATACAGCAGGAGTAGGAGCCGTTTAGTGCAGGACAGGAGCAGTATTTATACATTCCACACAGCTTATCTATTAGCATAAACTAGATACAGCAGTCAACCAATCAGTAATCTCCACACTTAATGGCTTGCTTTTGTTACTTCTCAAACCACTCCCTCTGGCATTTTGCCAGGCACCATCCAGACTTGTTTAGGAACTCTATCATTCCCCTGGCAAAATGCCAGGTGTTATTTTGACTTGTTTACAGATTCTAACATTTCCCCCTTTTGTTTAATTTAAATAACGACCATAGTGGTTTTTACAGAAACACCATAAATAACCTGCTACAAACAGAAAGGGAGGATGCAAAATGCCACAATACCAAGCCACTTGATGGCTCCATGCAAGAAGCCCTTGGAAAAATTATACCAGCAATGACTCTGTTAGCAAAGATACTGAGTTACAATTTGTTGTAGATTACAGTTTGTTGTCTCAGTCCAGGTAAAGTAGTGTCTCAATAGATTAACTCACAGTCCAGGTAAATCACAGTCCAGGTAAGTTCTGCAGACAGCTAGCTTAAATCACAGTCCAGGTAAGTTTTGCAGGCAACTAGCTTGATCCGAAGTCTTGTCCGTTTCTCAGCTGAAGTCTTGTCCGGTTTTCAGCAACACTGGAAATTCTTCCACCTTGGTCTTTACCGGCACTGGGACAAAGGCAGGAACTCAGGATGGCTAAAGAAAATCCTATAGCATTCTACTAAGAAAACAACCTTCTGAACAATTTAGTACATTATCTCAAGGTTTTTTACATTTGAAATAAGCCTTAATAGTGCTCATTACTCATTAGCTTCCAGGTGTGGGAGAACCATTGTAGTTTAGTTATTGGCATTGAAAATGACCAAACATCAGGGACACCAGTAGCATCTTCTGCTGGCTGTAGTGCCTGGGCAACCCCAGATGGCCCTGGGGAGTGTCCCGGACTCAAACTGCTACTGGGCACAGGGAGCAAGAGCCTGCGAGACTGTGCCTCCAGGTCAGGTCTAGATTTGGGCTCGCAGCAGTGGAAGAGCCAGTTCCCCGGCCAGGAGGCGGGGAAGGGCCAGTCGCCACCGCCTCTTGGAAAATCCTTGCTGCGCTGTGACCGGCTTGCACACTCAGCAGCCGCCTCTCCGCTTCACGCACCCTCCGGTAACGAAAAGTATTTAGTAATAGCCTTTTGCTGCAACTTTTTTTCTGATAATCCTTCTTCTGAACAAAATAACAGGTGTTATTTTGACTTGTTTACAGATTCTAACAATAAGTAAGAGTGATGAGCCAGGTGAGACCACAAGCGCATCGCCCAGAGCTAATCTGCAGCCTCTCCACACACCTATAAGCCAGGACTGAAGAGGGAGAGAGGGAATAGATGTGATTGAACAAAATTCGCCTTACGTTTATTACTTGGATGCTAGTGTTCTTTGGAAAAGCAAACAAGCAAAAACAAAACTGCAATAGTTTGAGATTAAAATTGTGTCCTCTGTGTAGGAATTCTTTATTTGCCTTGTGAGGTGGGCCACCCTCCTAATCCCAGCAACTCAGGAGGCTGAGGCAGGAGGATTGCAAGTTCTAGGCCAGCTTCAGCAATTTAGTGAGACCCTGTTTAAAAATATTAAAAAAAAAAAGGTCTGGAGAGCCATCTCAGTGGTAAAGCACCCCTGGGTTCAGTCCCCACTACCCAAAGGAACAAACAAACCCCATTCTGCTAAAAGTTTTAATTTGAGATCTTACTCTTTGCTTCTTGACCACTCTCCTGTCCCCTGACCAGAGTGGGCTCTATTCAAGGACTCAGAGACAACTCTCCCTATTCAAGTCCTGATACATTGTATAAAACCGGTGATTCCCTGTATGTGTTCTGAGCTAGGAAGCCAGCAACTGGCAGGGGAATGGGGAGGCCTGGGTTTTATTCAGGCTAACTGTTGCTTTGCATACTTTTTTTTTTAACCCAGCCCAGCCTCTTTATTTCTAGGTAGATAGGCAGCATGACTTCTGCACCCCACCTCAAATCTACCTTCACACCCTTCTCTGATGTTGACCCAAACCCCACTTCTTTTGCAGGCTCAAACATGGATTTGTCTAACGTTTTATTTGGCTATTTTCATTAGAATGCTCCTCTTGATTGTCACAGAATGAAAATCTCCATATCATTTTGTTTCTGAATGTCTTGTTTTCAACAGTCAATTTGTTTCTTGCAGGAGAAAAGTTGCTAAGAGACCAAAATAATTCCCCTATATCAAAGCTCTGCCTCTCACTGTAAAAGATTCAAGGCAGCAGTGAGGCGAGTGGGGGGGTCCTCTCACAGCCGGACCCCAAGGCCACAGGCAGACCACCCATCCAAGAACTTCAGTGTTAAGGCAAAGTCTGTGGTCACAGCAAATCCCCTGTGATAAAAACTGACACTTTTTTATTAAAGTTAAGTAAGGTAAAAATGTCCACTGGTAGGGTACTTTAAAGATATTTTTAGGACATTTAAAGGACTGCAATCTTTCCCATCCTATAATCCTACTAATGGACAGAAATAGGTGCTCTCCTATGGTGTGCAGTAACCAGACTCAAGACTCTTTCACCAGCCGTCTTGGTGGCCCCTGACCCCCACCAGCCCCTTGGCTCTCTAGCCTGGATCTTGTATTTGCAGTTGGGACCTACAGTCTGCTGGCTGGCTGCTCCAGTTGTCCCCCTTACTTTCTTTCACAGGGTGAACAAGCGTGATGGGGACTAACAGCATCTGGGCACCCCAGTGTGTCTCAGATGGATTTAAAATTGTTTACAAAGACCAACAAAACTTGGATTTTTTTTTTTTTTTAAACTGGAATCAGGGGCACATGGAATTTGTTATACCATTCTTTGTGGGATTTTGTTTTGTTTTTGTGTATGTTTGAAAATCTCCATAAGAAGCTTTGCTGTTTTCTTTTAAAGTCATATTTGACCTAAATACATACATAAATGAAATAAGTAGCCATCTTCTGTGTGTTGTTTTCTGAGACCCCTAAGGTGGCTTACAGGTTGGAAGAGGCCACAAACTCCAGGCAAAGCCATTTGTGTGACACTGAAAGTCTCTGTGTTACTGTTACGTGCAGCTGAGCCACTTCCCTCAAATATTTTTTTAATATTTTAATTTTTTTAAAAAATATTAGTTCTTTGTAGTGCCCCAGGTATTGTTCCACAGGGGAAAACAATCCAAACACCCTGCGTGGGTGATGTTAATTGGATGGTGTTCACATGTCTTATGGAAGAGACGAGGGAACAAACTTTGTTCTGCTGACTGTACTGCTTAGCTGTGTAGAGTGGGAAACAATTCTTCCCATTGCTCCAGAATAACAAATTCTGCATGAGGGCTAGACGGTTAATTTGTAAAGAAAAGAGAGTTGTTTAGCTCACAGTTAGGGAGGCTGAAATTTGGGGAGCTGCATTAATGTGGCCTCTGGTGAGGGCCCCCTTGGCTGCATCCTATCATGCTGGAGGGCATCATGGTGGGAACTCAAGCAAGAGGGAGAGGTCAGAGAGCAGGGAGGGGCCAGTATGACCCTACTGCACCCCATCTCTTAATGTCCACACTGAGGACCAGCACACAGAGCTTTGCAGGACATGCTCAAACAAAACCTACACCACAGCATGAACTGATTGCAGCCAGTGAGGCTTATCTGGGTCCTGACTCAGAGCAATAGAGCTTCAAAAGGCATTCATGGATAATTGGAGATGTCAAAACACTGACTAGGTTACTTGACGACATTAATAAATACTAAGTAGGTGATTAAGGTGTGATAAAAACATTTTGGACATGTTTAAAAATAGTTCTGGCTGGGTGTGGTGGTGCACACTTGTAACCCCATTGACACAGGAGGCCGAGGCAGGAGGATCACAAGTTGGAGGCCAGCCTGGGCAACTTAGCCAGACTCTTTTTCAAAATAAAAAGGGCTGGGGATGTGGCTCAGTGGTAGAGCACCCTTGTGTTGAATCCCAGTACCAAAAAGAAAAAGAAAAAAAAAAAAAAAAGCTGTCTTCCCTTCTGCCTGCCCATGTCTTCAAAGCATGCTAGCCTCACAGGTTTCCTCAGACACAGAGGACCCTGTGCCCACCAGACGGTGCCTGGCCCCCTCCTTGAGCTAGATAGCGGCAGTGCTGAACGTCGGAATCAGACACACAGAGAGAGCCAGCAGTCTCTTTGATAATACTGTTTATTGTCCATTGATGGAGCGGTCACTCAAAAATGATACAAAGCAGCAGAGACATGCGCAGTCTGCAGGTTGACTCTCCACGACTCTCACGTGCTCCCAGCACAGGGGGGTCTCGGACTTCACATCCCAGCACGAAGAACACTTTGCTCCCCCCACAACAACATAAAAATCCAAACAAAAACAAACGAAATCAACAAAGCTTTAAATTACGGCAGCAAGTCTGATATTCCTTAATACTTATCAAGCAAAGATTTGAACACAACTACGATGTAAACTTCATTTTAAATATTTTGAGTTGCTTGCGTGATGAAAAGAATAAAGGGAGAGAAGAGCAGTGCTTAGAAGACACCATAAATTAAACAATGCCAAATGAGATCCTTCTTCACCTGTACAAATGTCGTGGCTGTCCACTGTGAGGGTGTGGAGCGGCCTGGCCCTCCGCTGCCACAGGGCACTTTGCTCGGCATGGTCAGAAATCCAAATATAAAGGCCATCTTTCCTGACCAACCTACTCAAAGATACTTTGCAATTATCTGAACCAGAGAATAGAAGCAAGGCGGTGGAAAGAGCAAAGATGCTCAGGAAGGTCTGAAGGGACCCTCCACCGTAGGCCAGCTACACGCCACAATGTCCACTCTGGGTCCAATGCTTCCTCAATGCAGAAACCGTTTTTTTTAAAAGTGCAAGTCTAACACCTACCAAGGGTAATTAAAAAAGAAATCATCATGGGGATGGTTACAGCGGATGTCAGAAACAACCCGAAACATTGAAGAAGTCAGCAGAAACAGGAGCAAATCTTACATATGATATCACCATACAGGAAGCAAACAGGGCGGGGTGTTCTATTGACTGCAGGGGTCTGGTGGTGATGTATACACTGAAATCACACGGACTGGTCCATCGTGACATCTCACCAACTGGACATCACTGTACAGCATGAAAATGCCCCCAAGGCAGGGGCTGATTCCTGGATGCTCTCCCGGTCTGTCCTAGAAAGGGGAGTCGACAAGTTCTGTGCTGACCAGGTCCCGGGTGGGCATGGGGGCTGCAGCCCCTCGGGGGTCAGGAGTCTTACGGTTGCTCTGGGGTCGCTGCAGAATAGAACAGGCTTAGACGGTGGTGACTTCGGAAGCATTTTGCAGAAGGACTCTCACAGGGGCCTGGGGCCAGGGTGGGGGGTGGCTGGCTTCAGCATCACTCTGTGTGTGTGCATAAGGTCTATGTGTGCATCATGTGTGTCCCCAGAAGAGCATATCTTTACAGCATGGGTAGAAGGAGAAAGAAGGCCAACTGTATTGTGACTGAGAAAGTTCTGCCTACTTGAACCCCTATTTTATTGGCATCAGAAGACCATTTCTAGGGAATAAGTCGGTTCCCCAGTTCCCTCTGAAGGGTTTTAAGTGGGTAATCTTTGTGACATAAGAAAGCAAGCAGGCCTTGGCATACCTGCCACTTAGGTTCACATATTATCTGAGAATTCATCTTTAGAAAAATGAGATGTCTGTTAAAACAGGCCACAGTGCCCCGAGGGCCTGAACACAAGCTGCCTGGGTGCCCTGGTTGGGACATCTTAATAAGCTTAGCTCACATCACTTGGAGAAATCTGCACAGAATCATGATTATCTGTCTTGGAGGGAGATTTCACTAAGCTTGCCGGGGCACAGCAAGATCATGTCCTCAGTTTGCACAAACAGAGAGCCGGGTGGCCAGCCATACACTGCCCTGGGGAAAGCAGGTGGGAAGGAGGCCAGAGAAACCCGAGAAGCTCAGGACAGAACTCTAAGAGCATCTGGGCACACCCCAGCCCTGGACCTGCCCCAGCTCAGGGCTTCGCAGGTCTGCAGTGCAGGACTGAAAGGCCTTGCCTAGAGCTGCGGCATGGCTCAGTGAGGGCCTCTCCCTCCAAGGCCCTGAAGGAGGAATTCTGCAAACTCCCAGGATCGAGTCCTCCAAGAACGAGCCACCAGTTCCAGGGCTACTCCTGGTCCCGAGGGAGTCACACGTGCTGGGAGATTGTGATGGGCCCAGGGAAGATGGGGGACACTTGCAGGGGGCAGGGACTGCCACCCTAGGCCAGAGGTGGACATGCCCCTCTCAGGATGACAAAGACCTGGTAGGCCTGCTACACAGTCTTGCAATGACCCTCAGGAGTTTCTGCAAAACGCACATTTCCAGGCTCTGCCCTAACCAGGCTGGGGAGACCCCTGCATGCTGCCTGCCTGGCATCTGTGATGGGGACAAAGATGCCTGGGCAGGAAGTCTGTGGGTCCCACCCCTGCCTGTGCCCAAAAATCGAAGACCAAGACACAC